CGCGGACAAAGGGCCTCCACAGTATGGTGGAAAAACATGGCAGCAATGTGGGGCTTTGCCACTTGGCTTTTCCGTTCCGGTTTGTTCACATTTCCTGCTTTTGTAAGAACTGCAGCAATACCGTAGATGGAAGTGACTAGAAGAAACTTAATAGTTCTAATTTTCGGTGGTCCACGAAGTTTTGGCTTGGCGACGCGGGTTTTTCGTCGGACTGTCTGCTCAGTGCTGGAAAGCCACACTGCGAGGTGTACAGATTCACAAGCTACATAGACCAACACAAAACGTGTTACGTTCTCATCGGGCTTGCACTCCGCTCAACAAACTCAAATCCTTTTTTGGGATAGTAACGGTCACTTCGGCAAGCAATACGGTCAAAATAACGGATGTGAGTTTGTCCATAGTTGAGCAGTGCAAGTCTGTGACTTTTTGCTTGTGGAATGTTTACACCTGAACAAAATAGTTTTCTCCGAAAATTGAAAATTTCGTCATGAGAAATTTTCCTGCACTCCATCTTTTTCCACGAAGCCTTTGTGGGTGAGGTAGAAGGTGGAAACCTTCGCAACTTACAGCCCACATCCCTTTGTTGGGGGTGTGATGTGCCATCGTTCGAAAGCTTTGAGGTCGGCGATGCGGAGTGTGTGATGTCCCACATGTGTGGGATCAAGAGGGGCATGTTCGCTGATGCTTGACTTCATGTTTCGCTGCTGCAAAAAAAGAGAATGCCCGAATGCGAGCGTAAGTTATTGAGCATCTCAGTATGCAAGAAAGTTGATTGGACTCCCTCTTCGATTGCGGAATGTTTCCACCCATCGTTGATTGATTGCAACCGTTTGCAGCAGTTATATGGTGATCAGCATGCGGGAATTTGGGATGAAGATTGAAAGCAGTGTCTTCATCGGGATCAGCATGCACTGATGTGTTCTTTCGCCACTGATGTGTAATTCTTTGGAACAGCGTCCGTACTCGGGTGAGATAAACCCACCCCTTGTAACTAGTTAAACTTTGTATTGTGAGCCCAAACCATGATTGTACAGCCTTGGACCCAAAACCCTCAACCATAAAACCCTGAATGCACAATCGTAACAGTTGTAATAGTTAGTAATAATTAGAATGACAGCAACAATATTATTAAATGATGACGGAAGGGCAGCAAGCTGGACATTGTCAAACGCGTCTGAGTCGAGTTTTAGCACAATCAGTGAATGCAAGCAAGCCAAGCCCTTGATATGGCTTGGGAGTGTGAGTGTGTGTGTGTATGTTTGTGAGGTAGTCATGCTGCCTTACTGCCGTTTTGTTCGCACATGCCGAGTTGAGACTATGGAAACACATTCCGCTGCATTTCGGCTCCAGAGTGACTGCGACGTTCCAGGGTGATCGTTACAAACTTTGAACGGACCATGATCAGAGCAGCTGCCTCAGCACCAGGGAATTGTCTTTTGCTTGTCGGGGAGAAGCATCTCTCGTTTCTGGGTTGGAAGGAAGGTTTCTCGTCACCTGAGGATATCTGTGCATGCACCGGGTGTTTGCACATGTTTTGTCGCGTTAAACCTTCGGAGCCTTTGGGCTTAGGCTTAGTGTGGACAATATCTCGTGTCATGTTGACAAGCTTATCGAAATTGAAGTGTTTTGATTGAGCAGGTCTGCATGCAATCATTCCGCTTCTTGGTGACGTATGATGAGTGCATGCCTTGCCCAGGGTGCGACTATGACCTTGAGATATCTGGCCCTTTTCGTTTTGGGCTTGGCATATGTCGTACGTCGTTGCATCTGACTCTTCTCACGCTGCTTCCGCTCAGGTTGTCACGGCGGCACAGGCATGCGCATTTTGCCAATTTTACGTGTGTTTGCGCAAAGCTTCGAATCACTGTTTCACAGGAGCCGCGGAGACTCAAATTCAGTTTTGGTGATGTGTCATACAGCAGCAATGGTATGCCACTGCCTCGAAGTGTAAGTCTTTTTTGATTCCATCGTGAGACTCAGCAATCATTGTATCTGTGTGTGCATGTCCTGAGGAGCAACAGCCCGTTTGGCCAGATAAACAATGTGGTAAATCAGGCCCTGTGTTGTTTTCTGGGAGATCTGTACGGTCATTCATGTTGCTGGGAGTGTGGAGGCTCAAGGCCAGATGGTGCAGCCTGGTCAAGTTCAGCAGCAAGGCTCATAGGGGAGTTGGCAACATTCCATCTCAATTGAGGCACACCGAGGTTTGTTGTGCAAGCCACACTACCTCGACAAGGTGTCGTGGTGTTGGTGTTTCCAGCGTCAAGCCTGCGCATGCTCGCAGGGTCGGGATTTCAGAAATTGAGCGCGATCCTAAGCATGCTGCAGCCATGATCTCATCGTTGAGAGCCTTCTCCATGGTGGGCGCCAGCATCAGCACGCATCAGAGGTGATGACCCTTTCAGCTCGTTTGGATCAACCCCCAAGGCGCAGGAGCAGCCCAGCTGCATTCGTAAACTGCATGTACTTTAACCTGGCCTTATATCTGCGGATTTGTTCTTAGGCTGTGCTGCTACACATCGTTCTCTCGCGTCTGTTCTTACCGGATTAGCCCGATACTGTGTTGTCTTTTGTTGCTTGTTGCTTGGCAGTGGAGCCTTTAATCATGTTCACCTCGAGCTTCATCGTCTGCTTGTTCATACAGCAGGTCTCTGAAGCCATCTTTGCTGCCTGCCTGCATGCCCTCTACCTGCTGGCCATGCACACTTACCGAACTGCTCTCGGCATCTGTCACCCGCTCCCACACTGCATGTGCCACACGTGTGATCCTGTATCCATCTTGTTTTTCACTTTCCCATCGATTTTCTTTTTTTCCAAAGAACAAACACAAGCGCAAGCACAAGCACAAGCTCAAGCACAAGCTCAAGCACAAGCACAAGCACAAGCACAGACACAGACACAAACCCAAACCCAAACCCAGACGCAAACACAAACACAAACACAAACACAAACACAAACACAAACACAGACAGACACACACACACACACCACACACCTAGAGGGAGATGGGTGATGAGGAGATGGAGAGATGGATAGATGGACAGATGGATAGGTAAAGCAATGGTAAAGCAGGTAGGTAGGTAGGTAGATAGATAGATAGGTGGGTAGGTAGATTGGCAGGTAGGTAGCTGGATAGGTAGGTAGGCAGGTAGGCAGGTAGGTGGTAGGTAGGTAGGTACTGTAGGTATTTTGATAGGCAGATAGATAGATAGATAGATAGTGTCAGATGGGTAGATAGTATGAGATAGATAGATAGATAGATAGATAGATAGACAGGACGTTGTGACTTGCTCTCCCGAGGACTTTCTTGCCACCAAGCGTCAGACCGCCAATGTTGCGCTCCTTCTGCATGATGCCAACTGCCCACATTGCCGAAAAGCTTTACCGGAGCTTGACCGTGTTGCGGAAGACTTCCGGTCAGAAGGGGCGACTTGTCTCTCGCACTAAATGGCTTACAAGCTTGTACCGTGCATGCTGCGGTTTCTCTCTAGGCAAGTTTGCGGGAGAGAGCCTCAGGTGATCTTGGCGCACGCCGACTGCACCCACAATAAGGGCAGCATTCAGAACGAATTCAACTTGAAAGGCTTCCCTGGCTTCCTGTTCTGGAGACAAAGCGCTCCTTTGGAGGAGTTGGTGGATCAAGTTTTCGTCGTGATCTCGGAGCTTGAAAGGGGGCCAGCAATGTTAGGATGATCAACCGCGTAGCCTGCTGCAGCCATGGCGACATAAGGTCGTAGACACTGACGTTGATTTCATTCTGCGTTCCAGCCGCCTAGCGGAGATTGGTAAGGACAGGTGAGCTTGAAGGATCTTTCAAGTCGTCTTCTTGCCATTTGCTCGGCAGGAGCGTGACGGTGCGCGTCGCGCGCTGGCTGGAATGCAAGTCACGGTGAAAGCCACGGACAGCAAGGACATGACCGTTCAGGTGCCGGATGTTCAAGTCCTCAACCGTATCCAAAGCTCTTGTTCCTTAAGCCATCGAGGTGGAAGGCCCCAGCGGCCAGCTGGTGTGGATACCACATGAGACGCTTCTGAAGCAGGGCCGGCGTTTGCCCTACAGGCCATGGGCACGAGTGTGCGGTCAAGGTCGCACAGAATCGAAGCGGGCAACGTGTGCGGAGTGATGTGAAGCTTTGGGCAGATCTTGCTGCAGGCGCGGAGATGGAGTTGCTCGCTATCGCAATGTCTGGGAAAAGGACCTTGCCTTGAGCCATCAATGCTGTGGCCGTGCCGGAGTCGCAGACATTCTGGTCCTGAAGGAACCGATGACGCAGTTCCTGAAACGCATGTTGCAGCCACTTGCGTTGTCCTTAATCGACTAGGCAAACCCAGTGTGGCCATGAAGCGCTAGCTGCCACACATGTGTGCAAGGATGACATACTCCATCGTTTACCGCTCCATAGCTGCCTGACCGACGCCGCGATGAGGTCACAAGCCTCCCCAGCGCGACTTTGGCTTCCTTGGATGGCGAAGGGCCAGCACTGGTGCTTTGTTCGCGCACGCTGACACGCGGTTTCCTCGAGGCATCGTCTAGAGTCTACAGGGGCTTCGGGTTGCAGGGCTTGGCCGGAGGTTTTTGGGGCCACTTCCTGGTTCTGGTCTGCGTGGAGGCTGCTGTGACCCACCAGCTCTCCATGAGGGCCTACCAGGCTACGGCGGAGTGCCCCCTGCAGCCCGAAGCAGGCTGAAGCGGGCTGGGAGCTTTCGGGGTAAGGGCTTCGAGACATGGGACCCCTGTACTCGAAGAGTGTGATGCCTTTGGATGATGTCGAATGAGGATCTTAATCTCGAGTCTAAGTTGGTTTGGAATTCAGGCAGAACCCTGGATACTTCTCTGTCTGAGTCAACACATGCCATTGCCTACGAGGGGCCATTTGAGCTCCAATGATTACAGTTACATGGACAAGTCAAGCATGGTGAACCACAAACACGAGCCGACCGGACCCTGTGCAGATATCACTTTGCCCCTCCAATCACGGAATGCTTGTGAGAACAGTGTATACCCTTGACTCATAAACCCCGCTCTGTTAATGAGGATTGCAAAAGGATCTTATAGAAGTAGACGTCAGCGTTCTACCTTAGGTCTTGTAGAACAACCGCACGGCTGACAGACCTCCGAGTCCGCGAGAGAGAGACAACACTAAGACAGCTCATTCCGTCATTCCGCAGAGTGCAGACTTGCAGACTCCTTCTCAAAGCCGTCAAGCTGTCAGATGCCACTTGCCTTGCCCGTGCTCCAACTGGCTCTCGAAAGTGCACTGCGCGTGTGTGCGCGGGTGTGTGTGTGTGTGTGAGAGTATGGTCTCTGTGTGTGTGTGTGTAAATATTATCAACTGAGAACGCAAAAAGGCAACGCATGTATTTTTCACATACACTTAGCACAACTTTGAGTTACGTGGTGTGGAAGCTGTCGTCGCTACAGGCGAGCAGCTGGTGGTGTACGCTCCAGCGGCCACGCAGTGGGCAGCAGTGAAGCTTGGCATGAGGGTGCAGGGCGAAACTGTTGCGGAGGAAATACACGTCGGTTAGTTTAAGTTGTGGCATTGTGTAGCGCTGAGGTGCTGCTCATCGTCCTAGCAAAGATCGCTTTGGTAGATGTGTTGTGCCATAAATCGCGATGAATCTCATGTTCTGCTATCTCAATTAGCTTGTATCTATGCTACATCCTAGCTTATATCTTAGATATTGTGTCTTCTGTGTTCCATATTATGTTTTGGGTTATTTGTTCTATGTTCTTTTGTTGTGTCTTCCCCCTTAGCATACATCTTGCTTCTTATGTCTCATGTCTTGTATTTCATGTCTTCTATACTGTGTGAGTGACAAAAAATTGTATCTTTTTTCTTCTGTCTTCTTTCTTGTCTCTTCCCTCGTCTATCTTATTTCTTCAGTTGTTCATCTTCTGTTCTCTATCTTCTCATCTCCCTTTATGTATCTATCTATCCATCTATCCATCTGTCCATCTGTCCATCTATCCATCTATCCATCTATCCATCTATCCATCTATCCATCCATCCATCCATCCATCCATCCATCCATCCATCCATCCAACCACCCAGCCACCGAGCCACCCGCCCACTTCCCGACCTGCCGACCGACGTTTACCTACCTCTCCTAGCTAGCTAGCTAGCTAGCTAGCAACCTACCCGCACACCTACTATCTTGAAGCCTCAGCCCTGTAGCCTAAGGTTAAAGCACTCCGAAGGGGCGGAGGGGCCCTACCTAGGAACGGGTGTTTTTTTTTTTGCTGT